TTGGCGCAGGATAGAGCAGGGTTTAGGGCTGTTGTGCATAGGGTCGCTATGAGTCGGAAACGACTCGACGGCACATAACAACAACAACATATAATATTCCTTTATATGCAGTTACAGCTATCATTATTAGAAATGAAACCTAAATACTTTTAAAAATATCCACATAATAAGGGAGCTGTGGTTGCCTAGTAGCAAGAAGCTGCACTGCAATCCCGAGGTACATGTTTCAAATCCACCAGATGTTCTGCTGGAGAAGGAGGGACTATCTCTTCCTGTACCAGTCAGATATGATTTGACGGTACACACACACAAAATAATAAAAGGGAAAAAAATCCACTTAATAAAAAATACTGATAAACTCATTGTATGCATATATAAATAATTTTTAAATGATAAATAGCTGCATATATCAAAACAAAAAAGCATAGAAAAGGTATAAAATTAAGAAGAGCAGCATTGTTTTACTTTTTTGCAAATAAATCTCTTTAATGTCTGACGTATAGAATACAGCTATATTCTCTTACCTGCTTCTTGATTCAGTCTGTTGCCATATTCGAGAAGTCTGAGTTTTACTCTCTGTCAACTCTAGTTGTCCTTTTATATAGTAAGTAAATTTGCCCTCATTTTTAAGTAATTGAATCCGTCTTAATGTTCGTTAAATTCTTCATCACATCACCTTCACTTAAATAACTTAAGTAATTAAGAATAGCCTTTGGTATTGGACCAAAACTTGACAAATGACAGTTTCCTAAAGATGACCTTCAATGTGGAACCTGGAACTTTGCCAGTGAAACTGTTTTAGCCCGTTCAAATTCAGTTAGTCTCTCTTATACTGTCAATGACTTTTTTGTCAACATGCCATTTTGTAACATATGCTTTGGTAATTTGGAAAAGATTGGTTCCTGAAGATTTTCAGACCTCTGAATATTTAACTTTTCTTACCCATTATAAAAATATTGGTTAGTTTTATCACTGATCTCTTCAGAAATTTAAAAGTGGAAGTTGTCAAGTGCACATCAGCAGATCCAGGTTTTCTGATAATGGAAAAGACTTGCTTGAAAACTTAGTTTTTATTATCGACAACAAACAAATAAAAGTTATTTTCTTGAGTTAATAGGCTCACTTTGTTAATTTTCAAGAAAATGATTAGTAAACACCCAAGTCTATCTAACCAGTTTATCTGGCGTTTGTTCTGTGCAAAATATTGATAATTTAGTCTGTACATCAGTTATTTGTGGTAAAGGTGGGATTTTGGGGGTACATTTGAAGAACTATTTAAATAAATGTAGATCCAAAGCTTCCTGTGAATCTGTGAATAAGATGCAAGGATGTAGACCCTAACTGGAATGGTTTTTTGTGTGTTTTCCAGTTTATTTAAATGAGCTTCACGTTGCTGCACTTTACAGATACTCTGTTTGCATTTGGAAGGTGTGGCAACTCCACTTTTAGGCAAGTCTCTTGCCACCCTTTTTCTATCCACTTGTGCTCATTTTATGTGTCTCATTTTGGTCATTGTCATAGTGTTTAAAACTTTTTCATATTGCTGTCACGTTTTCCATTATATGTCTGCAAGAATGATGATTTTATGAAGTGCTTTTCCTGTAATAAGATAGATGAAGGCTTGTGTAGATCAGACATTGTGGATATTTAATGTTACAGAACAAAAGGTTCGTGAATGATTGAAAAACCAGTATGCATTGTAAATGGTCCTTCGAAGAGATAATTAAAAAAATTAAAATTTTTTTTTTTACTTCTATCATTTGAGTGCTAAGTGGTTACAATGCAGGGATAACAAATAGAATTTAATGTCACTGCTGTTTTACCACTTTGACTTTTGCATCATCATTGCACTGTCAACAGAGTAAAAGAAACACATAATTTGTTAGTTTTATTAAACCTGAATGGAAAAGGGTTGCAGAATCTGTAACGCTTTTCCTTTTTTCAGGCCTGTCATACTTAACATCTGTCTAATTATAACCCTTGGTACTCTAGATGTTACATTGCTAAAAAATAGCTCCAGTCTTCTCAGAGACGAGGAAGATGGCAACCAGGTGGACAACATTCGCAGCCTGCCGCTTAAAACCTCCCAGAAACCGTTTTATGATGGACCTATGCCAACTCCCCGGCAAAAACCGTTCCAGTCAGGCTCCACCCCCTTGCATCTCACTCACAGATTCATGGTAAGCGTTGGAGCTACATTTACTTAATTTAACTAGTTCTTTAAAGTTTTTCTGTTTTAGTTATTTTAGCTTGATAAAAAAAATAATTTTTTAAAAAATCTTGATTAACTGTCTTGGTTGATTTGTTTTGTGGTTAGTTTATTTTATGGTTTACCTGGTTTCAATCTTATTTCATCTTTTTATTGAAAACTATTTAATAAAATCTGGCTTTGCAGAATGACATGGTAAATATATTTTAAGTATGCTTGTATTTTGAAATACCTTTCAACTATATTTCTGAACCTGATTTTTCATACTATACTACCATAGAAATAGATTATGCAAATTCTTTTTTTTTCTTTTTTGTTTTTTTTTCTTGTTGTGTACCGTCAGTTAGGATCTGACTGACCTCACCTTTCCCAGCAGAGCATCTGGTGGATTCAAACCATGCTCCTTGGGATTGCGGTACAGCTTCTTGCCACTAGGCTACCAGAGCTCCCTAGATTATACAAATTCTTAAATTAAAAGTTTTGTAGTAATGGAAATCCAAAATCTCTGTAAATGTTCATTAAAATTATTAAAATTAAAAAAGGGGGGAAATTGTTTACATAGATTTTCAGAAAAGAAAAAAGAAGTTTTTTAGTGTGTTTTATTTTTTTCCCCCCAGAGGACAGCTCTTACTATATGATGTGAGAAGTACAAATAAGAATAAAACAAAAACAATCTTCAAATCCCACTCTTAAGTTTGAAAACATTAAAAAAAGTTTAACTCTTTCTCTTTGGTGGCTGTTTGAGGTTTTTCATCATGAAAATTTTGTCTTTTGAAAAGTGTAGGGCTGAAATGAATTAATATTTAAATATTAAGGATGATGTTTTATTTTAATACAATTTTATTGTCATCAGTCATCAAGTAATAGATTTTGAAGTTTTTACTCAAATAGTGCCAACTATTTTATTTCTGATTGCACTGATGATAAAGGAAAGGAAATACTAAAAGGTAATGCAATCCTGTAATGTACTTCTGGAAAGTACATTAATGGATGATAAGTTTTCTAGGTACTAGCAATTTTTGTTGACTGAAAATGTGTATATTTATTCTTGTAATATTAGCCAGCTAATTGGAACAGAAAAATCTACTGTTATTTTTATCCATATTTGTAATGAAACTATTTTTTTAAAAATATTTACTTTGAAGAATCTAATAATTCAGTTGTTCCAGGTCAATTTATATTTTCTTTATAACATAACAATTATGTAATTTACTTTTTAAAATTAAATGAGATACTCTTTATATGTTCCCTTTTCTTATAGGAAAAAAATAAAAATTAGAGCTCTGATGTTAGAAATTATTTAGCATTAAATGAATTTCGCTATCATAATGTAAACATTGAATTATAGTATTTGTTAGTTAACCCTACTTTGTTCAGCCTACTGAGTCTAGGAGCTTTACTTTTTCTCTGACTTATATTTAATCTTATGTGTTTGTAGATGTGGAACTCTGTTGGAATTATTAGATGTTATAATGATGAGCAAGACAATGCTATAGATGTGGAATTCCATGATACCTCCATACACCATGCAACACATTTATCAAATACTTTGAATTATACAGTAGCAGATCTTTCCCATGAAGCTATATTGTTGGCATGTGAAGGCACTGATGAACTAGCAAGGTAAATTCAAGATTATTAGGAAGAATCTGAACTGTTTAGTTGTTAGATACAATTATTGAAATTAAAGACAAAATATTAACAAAACAAAATATCTTTTGTAAAATGATATTCAGAAAGAAGGCTGTAGTACAAATACCAGCACATCTATAATACTGCAGAATGCAGTTGTCATGTTTTGCCTCATCTGCCCCCATGATACTTTCTCTAGGTGCATTGCATATGAAAATGAGATGTGATTTGTAATGCAGGACACTATTTTTTTAAAATTACAGTTACACATGTAATATACATTCATTGTAAATAAAAAAATGCCCTTTTCCCTCCCTAGTTCTAGGCAACTGCTGTTCTTTTTTCTCAACTATAGGTAACCTCTCCCCAGAATGTTACCAGTCTTTCTGACAATAGTCTTGTTTATCAATAAGCTTTATTCATTTAATGTATTTTGAGCTTATTTGTGCAGATAGATTAAGTAGATCAATTTAGACAGCAATGGGAAAGCAATGAATATAGACTTTTTTTTTATTATTCATTGTAAATTTCCTTTCTCCCCTGCCCTGACTGACCCTGCAATGCAACCTTTGTTCCAGGTTGCTGTCATATAATGTCTAATCATATATCGAATCATATATATATTTTTTTTTTCTTCCCTTCATCTGATATATTGCAGTGTTCATTATCTATCTACTCTTTCCCCATTCTCTCCCTAACCCCCATGTCTATTCTTTTTTTCTTAATTTTTTTATTATTATTAATTTTTTC